AATGTTAAATCTTGCTTACAGAAACATTTAAAAATTCACAGTGGTAAAAAACCGTTCAAGTGTGACATTTGTTTCAAAGAATTTAATCAGAAAGGTTACTTACAGGGTCATTTAGTAATTCACAGTAGTGAAAAACCATTCTTTTGTGACATTTGTTCAAAACGATTTACGCGAAAATCTTGCTTACAGAGACATTCAAAAACTCATACCAGCAAAAACTTTTAAGTGTTTTACTTTTGATACAAAATAAACAAGAAAGTTGACAAACCAACCTATACACTGAATTGCGAACATATTTACTTTGATTCCCCTACTATTCATAGAAGTTTGTTAGTATATTTCTTAAGGCGGGTACAGACTTGACCACGTACGCGTATGAGGCAAGCCGAGGACGCATGAGCATGCAGATGTGGACGGGCTTCCGAGGCGCGGCAAATTGCCTAGTTGTGTGTGTTTGAATTTAAGATATTCAAACCGCCATGTCAAACATAACATTTGACAGCCACAAGAAATAGTTAAATTATGGTTAAATTGCACCATATCTATGCCAGACCGATATATAACGAGAACAACCGAAAGCTGAAAAGTCATAAATCTTTATTGCATAAATACTAAAAAACCAGCGCCTAAAAATAAATAATTATAATAGTTAAAATAACAAAGAACACACATAAACAATAATAGTTAGATAATCCCTCCACAATCAAGCTCTCTTATTGGCTAAACGAAACCTTTAACGCGGTTCGGCGCGAGAATAACGCCAGTCAGCGTTGCCAGTCTATTACAATTGTAATAGATCTATCACTATTTGAACAATTCTATTACGTTGTTACGTTACTCATCAAATCTATTACTATTTTTTACTTTTCACTAATTTTAAAATATTTGCCACTACTTACCCACCAGTGAAGGTGTGATATTGCTCTTTGTCTAAAATTAAAACGCCAAACTACCATTATAATCCGTATTTGTAAACAGAACTCACCTGATTCGTCCTTGAACGAAAATCCAGAATAATATTCTAGATTCTGGATTTATGAGGTTTGAAACATGTAATAGAGGTTTTTTTCTCTTCAAGTTGGCATGAAAATGTGAATTTGGCAAAAAGGTTTGCTAATTGCTAACGATATGGTGAATGTATCAGCATATTTTTTTATTTCTCTCACTGTTTTATTGACCACCTTTATTTCATTCACCTTATTCGGATAAAAACAGGATTAAATAGTCAAAATCTGGAAATTAACGCGAAAATCGTCTGGATAATCCAAATAAAAATAAACTAGTTATTTTTACTATTCTCTGAAATCTATTACCTTTTAAACCATCAATCTGTAACTTTTTATCAAACAGTTCTGGCAACACTGACGCCAGTGTGTTTTTAACACTCAAGCAGTAAACAAGTGCATCGCTAACATTCAATGAGAAAGGATCTGCGTCTCTCGTTCATGGGAAAAGTAGTGCCTCCGCAATCAACACCACCCATTGAACGTACTGGACCCCGACACCCTTTCTGTAAGAAATAACAATAATTTCAAGTGATTATCGGCCCGCGAAATTAAAAAACACGCGAATTCTCTAATCTTCCGTAAATGGTGGGCTTAGTGCGAATACGCTGGTAGAACTATTGTAAAAGTTGAATCCGTTGTTTACGTGCTATTTGTGTAAACAGGAAGCCTAACCACAGTTGCCAGGCCTACAACAGGTGCCTTTTCCCCCTTTTTTATTTTTATTGAATTGTGAAATCAATGATATAAATCACTTTTTTTACTACTAACATGAGAAATCACCATTATTTACTCCATTCCTCTAATGAGAAGTAATATTTCTCTCCCTAGGTAAATAATGATAATAAAAAAAAACCTAGGTAAATAATGAAACTAAATTTCATTAGTTTCATTTTGTTAATTTGACAACTAAACTCCCAGACTACTTGATATTTTGAAATATTTGAAAAATAAGTAGGAAATAACTAAAGCTGGGTTTATCAAATCTAGTCAAATCAAATATGATAATATATATCAGTGTAAACAGTAAAAATATATATTAACTAGGAAATTCAACACCGGCTTTAAAAATTATTAATTAATAACAATAAATCCATGTCATTCAAATATCAAAAATGCAATGGGATATTTCCTAGAATCATACCAAAATTTGACACATGCCAAATTTTTACATAAATAAAGCCAGTCTGATTAGAAACACGCTCCAGTCTGCTTGATATTTCGAAATATTTAACAAATTGTTAGGAAATTACTTATGTCAAAATTAAAATTGCTAATACATTAATGTTAGTAGTAAAAAAAATTCTATATATACCTCGGCTGAGAAAGCTATTATTTACCTCGCACATTATATCCCTCGGCGCTACGCGCCTCAGGATATAAAAGTGCTCGGTAAATAATAGCTCACTTCTCACCCTAGGTATATAATGTACTATTAATAATTATCGGCAATTCTTGGCAGTGTTGCCACTTGTTAACAAGTAAAATACCTACTGACCCAGTTGATAACTAATATATGTTTAATGATCTCTAGTGGCATTATTTTTCCCCAAGCATTAGATCTTTCAGGATGCTCTCCAAGTGCAGCCATCGAGGAAAAATGTAAGTAGCAGCCCAACAAATTGAACTACAGTCCACTATATGCCATTTTAGGCTTGCTATTACAGTGTGCGTCGTACGGCCTCGCCCCGATTCGTTTGTTGGCGGTACATCAAAGGGAGGCAATGCACAGTACATGTTAATAATAATTTTTTTAATTTATTACCTCTGAAAAACAGCAAAAAATTGATTCAGCGCGTCATTGGACTTTCTCTTACCCATCTTATACATTGAGTTGGAAGTGAGATAGAAGTACTTCTCTTTAGAAGTACACGCGCGTAGGCAGCATATTGTTATGTTATAACGCAAAAAAAAACAACAACAAAGAAAATTTTGAAAATTTATTTAGGTTATTTTGTTTATTATAGTTTGAATATTCGGTAAAAATTTAAAATTGTAGCATTTTAAATTTTAAGGTATATTATTTAATTCAAGAAAATTAGAATTTTCGTCAATTTCGGATTTTAAAAAATTCATAACAATTAAAGGGTTAAAGATACGATGATGGGCGTAAGGACATTTTTATTCGAAATATCCTAAAGAATACAAAAAAAATTAAGTCATTGCAAACAATGCATTTTTTCTGGCTAAATTAATTTTTCGTTGTTTAAACAATAACACCAACAAATATCGAGTGTCATCTTACACTTTTATAATCAGGAAAGCCTTCCGGACATTTAAAAAAAAAATTAAGAATTGAAAGAATTTTGCAAACGAATGCGCCACTATGCCCTGCACTAAGAGGAATTTCGAGAGAAATAATTCAAGCTGGTTGGCTCTACGATATTTAAATGTACCTAATTGTGCTAAAAAATGAAACCCCTGATATGGCAACACTGTGGACCTAGTAATTTGACAGAGTCAAAGTTTTAGATAGTTATATAGATTAATCATTCAAGTTTTTAAAAATAAACACATGCTTATGCCTTGAAGCATTGTATAAATTTTATACAATGCTTGAAGTAAACATGTAGGTAATTTTTTTATTTAAGATGCGTTTTAATCATCCGCATCTGCTTCCGGAATTGTTGGTTTAGTCGTTTTAACCTGTCAGATTAAAACAAGAAAACCGACCATTCCGAAGCAGAAGCGGATGATTAAAACGCATCTTTAAAGGCTGAAAATTGATTTTAAAACACATGTTTGCTAAATCGATTCAAATTAATGAGCATTTGCCAGGCAATATGGCCGCTCACAAACGATCCGCTTTGAGCAATCTCTATAACTGTAATGTATCAATGACAACAGACCCACAGGGTTGCCATATCTGAACTCAGTTCCCACTGGTAGCGTTTTGACAGGTCGTTGGAATGCCTAATAAGTGAATAATCCTACTTCAATAGGTTCTTTCGTTCGCTGTTGGTGTAGTGTCCACCAGTGTAAATTACACCAGTTACATCACCTTATTTACCCTAATTTACTTCCTCCTTATTCCTTATACACATGTCGAGTGTAATTCACTCCTGCTTAATAGCTGGTGGAGAAAATATCCACCAGTGTACACCACATCGCCGACTGGAAGGTATAGTGGGTTTTACACCGGGCCAAACGAAAGGTATGGTGTGCGTTGGTGTAGTTCATTACTACACCAGTGGGACGAACGAAAGAACCTATAATATCACCATCTGGCGCAAAATTGAAGTAGGGTTCCTGCACGTTTACTGCCTAAAAATCCTATTCCAGTTGGTGACCTACGTAAGACATATTAAAGTAGCTTTTCTATATACGTCTCCCGGATGATTAGTCATTTCCCAAAAACACATGTGACATGACAGTGACCAGCAGCGTTGCCAGTGCTAGTACGTTCGTATTAAATCTACTGCCTTTTCAAAATTTCTAGTAACTTTAGTACGCGCAAATACAATTTAGTACGTTTTTGTACGAAAATCACTAAAAAATTATTGAGTTTTATGATTTTGTTTATTGTTGTAGGTATATCAGAATCTAAAGGTCGAAGCGAAATGGATTTTTGATTTTTTATTTTTCGCCATGGTTTATTTGACCCTGTCATAAGACTTGTCCCCTGGAAATTTTTTGAACGGCGCCAATGCGTGAATCTCATTTAAAATTTCAATGCATACATTTAAGTTTATACAGACAAACGGATTATGAGAAATTATTGGTTATTTTAAGTTTCTATTGGCCAGTGAAAGTAAAGAGCAGCCCTTAACATTTTACTTTGAAACCACCTTTTTAATTACTAAAAAGTTTAGTACATTTTAGTTAATCTAGTATTTTTTCATTAACATTTTAGTACATTTTTATTAATAGGCAACACTGGTAACCCGTGACACTACTGACAGTTACGATGAGTCAACGTCAACAAGAGTAGGGTACTGGAAATATTTCGTTATTATTTAGCTATAAAATTAAACTCTTTTAATTAATATTGTAAAAATGTTCAAGAAAAAAGACAAACCGAAAAGAGACCATTCTGGAAAATCTTTGTCACAGGTGTGTTAAAGCATTTTTCCATTAGATTAATAGTTGAGAAACTATCATTTTTGCCGTTATTTTTATTTATTACCTCATCTAGGTATTTAGAATCAATATTTAACAAAATGATCTGTTTGGAGACAAGGGCATTTTCGATTTATGTATTTTATTTATTGCTATATTACACAAACAAGTAATAATTAAATTTAAGGACCCCTTCAATTTAAATTAAATGTTTTCAAAAATATTAGCAAATTCGAATTCCAAAAGACAAAAGACCAACTCTGGCCAACTTTTTATAAAAAAACATGCATATGATGTAATAGACAAATGGTACTAAAACTAAACTGTTTATATAACTATAAAATGTTTATTTTTACCTTTTTCTACAGTATGGCCTCTTTGAAGTACCCGAAGATTTCAACACTGGTCTAGATGATGTTCCTGATGATGACAATGATGAAGATCTTGAAGCAGAATTAGCTGCTTTAACAGGTGGTGGTGGTGCTTCAAAGAAACCAAAAAAACCTGCCAGAAAAATTATTCCCCAAAGAGAACTTGATTCCATGGTATCAGAAACATTAAAAGATATTGATGATGAAGATGATGTGTCTGTTGACGAGAATGATCCTGAATTGCTTGGAGAATTAAATGCAATAGCAGGTACAAATTTGTTTTATTATGAAGTGTCAATATTTTAAATTGTTTCCTATATTCTCTCTAAAAGTGTATGCATTATAATTATTTAAGTATATTTTAATATTTAACTAATATTATATTCTCTTAAATGGTTTTCAGTAAAAGATAAGATTATTTTATTTTTCCATGATTTTGGTTTATAAAATTGTAAATCAGATAGCTCCAAAATATTTACAATACATCACTTTTAACAAAGATGTTCATTCACACGACACAAGAAATGTTAATAATATATATATTTCATGAACTTGTTATAAAAGTACTATGGATTCATTATTTTTTAAAGTTTTCTCAGATTTTAACAACTTACCCATAGATGTGAAAGATTCACATTCTCTCAATGTATTTAAAAGAAAGATCAAAGAATTTTTAATGAATATCGGATAGAGGTAGCTAATATAACTATAGTTTTGTTGTGTTGTATTATGTTTCCTTCTCGTTTATTGTAAATGTATGTAAATTTGTGTTTTGTTTTATATGTACATTAGGGGTTCTTAATTATTGAATAAATGATTATTATTATTATTATTACTAATAATTAAATTCAGAACTGTGTTCATATTAAAATTGGTATAAACTATTTTTAAAAGGAATATATAGGGTGAACTGTCCAGTTATTGACCACTTTAGGCAACAGTGATGTATACATATTTGTAAAAATGTTCGTTTTGTTTTTAAAATAAAAAGCAAGGAATAGCTGGATGAATTTGTTTACTAATTTAACTTTTTTAACATAAAAATCTAAACATGTTTATTTGTTTAAAATATTCAATAATTTTTAAGATATAGTGCATAAAATTCTAGTAAATGACCAGTTCCTTTGAGTAAATGACCAAATAAAATACCAGTAAATGACTACAAAACTACTTTATTGTCTAAAAGAAAACATAAATAATTAGTTTAAAACAATTAAAGAGGTGTTTCATACTTTTCCATTTCAGGAACTGAATACACATTTCCTACATATCAGCATTGGTGGTTCAATCTTTTTAATGACATCCTCTTCTTTATACCATACTAGCTGTTGCCCGCGGCTTTGCTCGCATGTAGTCCTGTTATTAATATAAAAAATACATGACTTCCTTTTTTTATTAATTTTTATTGATTTTCATTCATTTTTTTATATTTATTCATATTTATTTATTTTTACTCATTTTTATTTATTTTCATTCACTTTTATTAATTTTTATTTATTTTTATTAATTTATATTAATTTTTAATATTTTTTTTTATTTTAGTTTATTTTTATGATACTACTATACAAAAATCTAACCACAGAGCACGTGATTATTTATTTATGCTACAATTATAATTTTCAAGTTCCAACGTTCAAAAAATGTATACTTCTATACAAATTTTTACCCCCGTTTCCCCCCTTAAAATGTGAAAATCCAAAAACCATGAAACATCATTTTTTATTTTTAATCAGTAGCTGTAATTCAAATTTTTGTTTCAAACTTTAAATAACAAAAAAATATATACATACTATTAAACAAATTCCCCCCCCCCCCCAATTGCTCCCCTTAAAATGTTAAAATGCAAAAATCCTGAAACACTTCATTATTTATTTATGATGAGAACCTACAATTCCAATTTTCAAGTTCCTACCTTTAAAAAAATCGATATCTCCAAATAAACTTTCACCCCCCCCCCATTTCCTCCCCTTAAAATGTGAAAATCCAAAAACCCTGAAACACGTCATTATTAATTTGTATTCATTATCTGCAATTCCAGTTTTCATGTTTTTAACTTTAAAGGGAACCGAAAACATAAATACTCCCAAATAAATTCCCCCCCCCCCCCCCATTTCCCCCCCTTAAAATGTGAAAATCGAAAAGCCCTGAAACACGTCATTATTTATTTATGCTTAGTAACTGTAATTTAAATTTTCATGTTTTTAACTTTAAAGAACAAAGAGTTTCATTAAAAGCTCCCTCTCCCCATTTCCTCCAATTTCCCCCCTTTAAAGTTAAAATTTTGAAAAATCCTTTTTTAGCGGATGCTTATGTTATAAAATAAACCTATGTTCCAAATTTCAGCTTTCTAGGCTCAGTAGTTTTGGCTGTAGGTTGATAGGTCAGTCAGTCAGGACAAACAATTTTATATATATAGATTTGGTCTTTTTTTTTTGGCCATTTCCAATTTTGTGCACTTTTACACATGACTCGCACTTCATATTCTCCTCTTTGTTTTCGTATAACAACACCGGGAAAATAACTGTTCTCATATTTGACAATCACAAAATCAGCAATGGTAAATGTAGTTGGTGGCATAGATTCATTGATTTCATTTTCATCCTGGTTCTTGTTCAATTTCCTCTAAAGATTTTTCATCTGTAATATTCGAATCACTTGAACTTGAAGAAGATTCTCTTCTCTTTTTTGGTCTATTTTCGTTATTTTTGTTTAATTTTTCACGTCTACGTTTTTTGTCCTCTCTTTTTTTCTTTGCTCTTTTAATTCTTCAGCAATTCTTTTTTATTCTTCTTTTTTTAATGGCAATTTCCAACTTTGGAAAGTGTAAGTGTTCCTTCCAGGAATCTTGGACTTGAAGAGATTTTTTTGAGCTAAAATTTAAATCCAATTGTGTTTCTTTTGACTCATTTTCTTCATTTTGATTTTCAATTTGGATGCTTTTATTTTGAGTATTGTCTTGATTTTCTACATGTTCCATTTCTTCCTCAATTTGTTCACATATATTTTCATTTTTTTTGGGTATTCTCCAGGGCACTTTCTTGATTTTCTTTATTTATATCATCTACATTTCTAATTTCTTCAACTTCCTGATAATCATCAGTTTCTGTGTCCATCATTATTAGAAATTTATTTTTCATATTTTCTCTTTAGTCTTCTAATGCAATATAATTCTCGCCATTTTCTTCATTGGGGTTGTCTTGATTTTCTGCATATTTTTACCATAATTTAAATAACTTATCATTATTTAAAACTTTTTGTGCTGTTCTCCCTTTTCTGTATGTTTTTAAGGTTTCTGGGGAAATTTCACTTTCAAGAATTTTTAAAAATTTCGTTTTATCAATTCCACTCTGATTACTCTCTACATTATTGTTATCTTCTTTTAGTGCTGCCTGACGAGTATTCATACATTTTGAAAAATCAACATTATTTGCATTAAATGGAAATATGCCACATGCCCTGAAGGCGTTTTGTATGGTTTCAATTTTACTGGCATTTTTAAATGCTTGTGCAAAAATAGGTGCAAAAGATACTTAGGTTAGAGATTTTCTTGTTTCTTGTTTATATTTCTGACACTGCTTCATCCAGGATACTTTTAGAGTTCTAAAGATACCAACATCACATGGCTGTAATATGTGTGTAGCATTTGGTAATAGACAATATAAAATAATTCTTTTTTCTTGGCAAAAAGTGGCTAGTTCAGGACTGATATGTAACTTATGGCCATCTAGCAGAAAGATAACAGGCAATTTTATGTTATTATCTAACAGCCATGGATAGAAATTATTCGACACATACTCAAAAAATGTAGGACCAACTATCCAACCTGTATCACTTCGACCAATATAAAAATTATCATGGATAGAGTTAGCAATGTCTCTAGGTATTATTTTGTATGGATATATTATAAGTGTTGGAGCTACTTTTCCACTAGCAAAAGAATTTGCTAATACAGTCAGGCACTCTTTTTCTTTTCTGACAACAACATCATAAAAATTTCTAAAATGTTTTAGCCCTAGCACCTTTCCTGTTTTGGGGCATAATTACACTCCAGTCTCATCAGCATTATAGACCCGATCAGCATCTTCAAGAACATCAACAGCATCTTCTTCTATTAAATAACTTTTAAGATCTTGAAACCACTTTCTGATATCTTGCTCAGTTACCTAGCTCTAGCTTTGGAGACAATTTCAGCATTTCTTTTCCCAATATTTGGCTTTACTTTTAAAAATCCTTTTAGACATTTTTGAATGGATTAGGACGCTGGGTTTCTTCCATTACCGTTTGTACAGCATCTTTCACTTCATCTGGATGCATAGGAAACCCAATTTTTGCTTTTTGGATTATCCAATTCTCCAACATATCTTCTTCCTGAGCAGTCAAGTGTTAAGTCAACATATTTATGTTTTATGTGAACATTAAAATAGAAAATACATCATTTCAATCTTGCATAGAAATGAAAAGGTCATATTTAATTAATCTATGATTAATAAATGTGAAGTAAATATTAATGCTGCTCATCAATATGCATTCTTTTTATTTTGAGTGATTTATTAAAACTCAAAAATCAACAGCTTTTATACTTATAAATATATGCTTCAATTTTTAAAATATTTAGGTGATTCTCCTGAACCAGAAGAAGACTCTCCTTCTCAAGAAACACAACCAACTGTTGCTTCTTCAGACGTTAACATTCTTACAGAAAGGCTAAACAACTATAATATTTGTGAAAAAAGAGCAAAAGAATTAGGAGAAAATATGAAAGCTAAAAGATACAATAGAGCAATTAAGACATTAAAAGACCTCCTAAAAAAAGCAAATGCGGGACATCCTATTGACCTGAATGATGAAAGCGTCCCTCCTGATATACAACCACATCAAGATAAACCTGCTACATCAGTTGTTCCTCAAGTACCAAAGCAACCTACACTTCCCGAACCATTATCACCAACAACTACTGAGTCTCCTTTAACTCCATCTGAAGAAACGCCTTCTTATGATCCTGCTACTTTAACTACTCTACTTGAGCGTCAGAAAGCCTATAAAATAGCAGCTTTAAAATACAAACAATCTGGAGATGCACAAAAAGCAGTAACATTTTTGAAAATCTCGAAGCAATTTGATGCCGTCATTGCAGCTCTTAAAAGTGGCCAACCAGTTGATCTGTCTAATATGCCTGGCCCACCTGATGAGACTACGACCATCTCTGAACCTAAAGTTCAGGAGAATGAAGTTCAACAAAGCGGACCTGAACCATCGACTAGTGACAATGCTGCAGATGGAGGGAACCTTGTTATGGCTTCTAGTGTGTTGGAAGCTCTGGAACAAAGATTAGCTGTTTATAAAGAACATGAAACCAAAGCAAAAGGTGAAAATAATCCAAGTAAATCTCGAAGGTAAATTAAATAAAAATTAAATCTTATAATAATAGAAATATTTGATTCTATTTATGATACTTAAGCACTAATATAATTGAAGGGATAAGTGGATGAAGGGGTTATATGTAACATTTTTAATCCTATTTTTTAGTTGATGAAGAATTAATTAAGTTCATATGTGTCTTTTTCGTCTAATTAGTTCATAATCATTCTTACTAACTCACAAAAACGCATTTTAAAGACATTTTTCACTAAAAATGCCAATGAATCTAAATAGTTAACTGCTCAAAAACTATTTTTATAGCATAACCCCCTCATCCACTACCCCTTTAATTCACATTTCTAAAACACATTTACTTATACTAATTTATATCACATTTACTTTATTTATGTTTTTACTGCTATGATTCGACTTCAATTGATTACTTCCTGTGCAACATAGCTCATTTATATATCAATTTATGTATGTGCTAGATTATTCACTTTCTCACCATTTATTAGATAGGCGTTTCCGGCAATTTCTCTTCTTTACTTCTAATACAGTCCCGAATGAATGATTTATACCTGCTATTTGTGAACACACGCGTCCCTATAGTTGAGTAAAGGGGTTTATACCCTTCACCAAATATTCCTGGTTTTAAGGATAATTGGGATTGTAACTAGGTCCAAACAAGGCAGAGGGGCCCAAAGGACCAGATTGGTTGGAAATGGCTCATATTACAATATGTACCGTACCACATATTAAAGAAACAGTGTCTAAAATAATTATATATAAGATAAAGATACCAGTAGTCGACACCTTAAGAAAAATATGATGGTAAATTTACAATTAATTTCATAAATTTGCCTCTATATTCTGTTATCAACTTCAGATAGAATACCTCAAGTGTGGTCTAGGTAAACATTCATATCAAAATGATAGATTGTTTTAATTTTCTTTTTGGTAATAATTTTTTTTGACTTCATGCATCTGCTCCAAAGGTTGACAGGTGCAGATTAGCTAGTTCTAATAGCTGACATGATTTGCTCTAATAGTTGACATCCTAACTATTAACATGAACATTAACAATTAATTTTATGTGGTATTGATTTTGGGTTTCTATAAATTCATTAATCTAATAAATGCTTAAGCTAAATATTTTTCTTACATAGCATAGTTACGACAGATTTTTTTTCCTATGAAGGTATGGAAGAATAATTAAACAATTTGAACAAGCGATAAAAGCACACAAAGCAGGGAAACCAGTTGCTTATGATGAACTTCCAACTCCACCAGGTTACGGGCCCATACCTGGTGTAGCACCACCTGCTCCTGAACCTGTTGAAGCCCCAGCACCACCTCCTAGACCAACCAGACCTGCACCAAAACCATCACCATCAACTGAAAGTGAAGAGAGTAGTGACCAACCTAGTCCAAGTCCTAAAAAAACTGAAGGTCAGTGTTTTTTTTTATTAATTTATTTTAGCTTTTACGCCATTTTAAAGGTTCAAAAAACATAGACAATGCAAAAGAAGATACATAAATTAAAATAGAACAAAAAACACACATTTTATTTACTTAATAATGTAAAATTGCTGTATAAATATGATTAATGAAATATGTATTTGTATAAAAATTAAAAATATATATATATATATATATTTTTATATTTTAGGTATGGTTCCAAAATCTACGCAAGCTGACAAGCAAATGCAGATTCTTATAATCAAACAAAAGCAATTCAAGTTAGCAGCTTTGGAAGCAAAAAAGAGAGGTGAAATGGCGCAAGCTAAAGAATTTTTGAGGCAATCCAAAGGTTTTGATAAATTGATAGAGGCTTCTATAGCTGGATTACCGGTTGATTGGTCATCAATTCCCGTCTCTCCTGATGCAAAATCTCAATTAGATAATGAGTAAGTTTCAGAATGATTAAACAGTAGGTTTATTCAGGGCCGACAAGAGGAGGGGGGTAGCCGGGACTAATTCCCGGGGCCCGGCAACTTTGGCGAGGAGGTTTTTCAAAAGTTCGGCACAAGAGAGGGAAATTTTTGCTTCAAGATATTTTTTTTTTAGAGAAATTTAAGTAAAGAGGAGGAGAAATTTTTTCTTGAAAGCCTTTTTTTTAGAAATTTTTTATAAAATTGTCGCGGGGCCCGATTTGGAGAATTGTCCCGGCGCCCGACCTGGCTCTCTAATAACTATTCTTATATATAAAATGTCAAGTTGTGCAACTGCCTTAATACATGATCACTTCATCCAATAGGCGATTCATAGTTAACGGATGTTATTTTTTTTGTCATTGGCTAATAGTAGGTCGAGCGTGGATTTCTGACCGTTGCGCACTCTAGTAGGAAAATTTATAAGCTGTTTGAAACTGGACTCTTTCAGCCGTATGCATAGTCGATCACCAGCGACTCGCCAGAGATTCATTTCGGCGTATCGCCAGCGATTCGCTGGCGATCCGCCGGTGAAAGCCCAAAAAGCTGGCGACTCGCCGGAGATTGTCACCGGAATGTCATTTCACGCAAGTTTTCATGTTCTTTTATAGGAAAAAATTTGATATTCGTTCATTATTTTTTGAGTTTTAAGAAATGAATCATGAATAAAATGCGAGAGATACCGGTGATAATCCCTATAAAAGAAAATAAAAACTTGCGTGAAATGACATTCCGGTGACAATCTCCGGTGAGACGCCACCTTTTTGGGCTTTCACCGGCGGATCGCCAGCGAGTCGCTGGCGATCGACTATGCACACGGCTGTTTGTATGACAATAAAATCCCTTGCTTCTATGTTGCTTTCAGTCAGTATTAGAGTTGCCCAGTCTATTTCTTGACAGTTAAAATCTCCAAATATAACAATGATTGTTTGTTATTTTGATGCTTTCTTGATCATATCCATCAAATGTGTATTTTCTTGCATTCCAACAAGTCAAGGACGGTAAATACATGACAGAAGCATGTTTGATCTACTGATCAATATAATTATTTCTACTGCCTCCTGTGTACTTTGTAAACAATTAAGTTTCCTATAGACTGTTTAAAAAGTATGACCACCTATATCTAATTATTATTTTTTCTGATTTAATATTTTATTCTTCTAATAATGTATCTATTTCTAGATATAACATAGTTATGAGCACTGAAAATGATGAAGCAGCAGGTATAGATAGTGATTTGTTTGGCCGATTAGAGAACCAACTTCAAAAACAAATGAAAATGTGCCTTACGACCCGTGATCATAACAAAGCAATAGGCGATATTCCGGGGATGAACAGATTTGAAAGGTTAGCTTTAAACGTAACCAAAGACCTAGATGTTGTGCGTCTTGCCAGAAAAACTGGACGCGTGCCGAAATTCCATTACGAAACTAAGGACTTTTCTATTGTTAAGTCTTTCACGGAAATTGGTGATAATGATATGGAAGTTACTATCCACAGGGGACTTAATATTAAGGATAAAGATGTTGATACTTATGTTAAAATGGAGTTTCCGTTTCCTCAGGTAAAGATTAATTCAATAATAATAATAATAAATCAGGGTAGCTATTCTTGAATTCGAGGGAATAGAAAACCGGTTTTTCATCTTTATCTGCAACGCAAAAATTTGTATTTTTGTCTCATTCTTCCCTCAAAATTTCTACTCCCTGAGATTCAAGAATAGATACCGTGTTATTAACTACAGCAGGTGGGTACATTGTATCAGATTTTTATATAATATATATCACTGTAGATAATTGGACAGACTAAGTCAGTCGTGAATGAGAGTTCACTCCTGTTCTTCCCCTAGCGCCAGTAAAATAATAAAATAGTTAATCCAATGACGAAAAATTATATTGAATAAAAAAATATATAAAAAAGTAGCGATAAGAAGAAAAGGGTGGGAGAAAAGGGAAGAGAGTTAATATTACCGAAAGAGAAATTATTAGGAATCACTGAGACCTTAACAAAATCTCCTTGTAGGATATCTTAAATGATCCTAGAGATTTTTGAAGCAGTTTTGGGTCCATTTTAAATATTTTGTTAATACTGACAGCGGTGGCGTACGAGAAATGTGTTTATTACTTTCATTATGAATTTAATAAATTTTTGTCAAATGAAAAATAAAGTTAAATAATTCGTATAGTGAAATTCACCATTGAATTGCTTTTTCACTTAACACAGACTAAACCTTAAAAAATTAGAGGTTAGTGGTAACAATTCTTTAAATGTAGGTACTTAACAGTTACGGATTTGCTATTGTCTCATTTCTAAATTTCACTACAACACTGGAACCACCTGGAACTATAGAGAAGTTGTAATGGAACTTTGATTTTCATTCAAGGACGACTCGCCTGAGATCCGTTTATAAATACAGGCCTTAAGGGTCTATTCTGTAAATATTTGGTTAAAATTAACCCTGGTTTATAAAAATAATTTTCAATTCTGTATTATTTGGTTATAAATTATAACTTATGTCATTAATAAATCTAGTAATGATTATATGTCAAATATATTCTTTTTCTTATTTTAAAACTGAATGGGGCATAATTTCAATTCACTTTTAGTCGTTGCCATGTCTGTTTAAACTGCGATTGGCTATAAAATAGCTAATAACACAAAATTAAATTAATGGAATATTAAATAGACAGTTGGGTTAAAATTTAAACGTCATAGTTGTAAATGACCTTTTAACTGTCAGGTGACATTTAAATTTTAACCCAAATCTCTATTCAATATTTTATCAAGTTAATTTTCTACTATAACCAATCCTAGTTAAAAATAGACATGGCAACGATGTAATATACTTAAAAAGTAAATTGAAAGTAAGCCCAAGGTAGTATTAAAAATAAGAAGAAAAAATATTTGACAGTTAATCATTATTAGATTTATTACTGACACAAGTTATAATTTTAACCAAACAATACAGAATACAAACTTAAAAATAACGTCCAGTTATTTTTATAACCCAGGGTTAATTTTAACCAAATTTCAGTGTATTATCTTAACTTGCGAATCTTGATCATTTTTCTAAATGTTAATAACCGACAAAAACTTCAACTGTCACAAGCATTTGTTTATATATTAGTGTATATTCTGCGCTTACACACATTTTAAAAGAAAAAAAAAAATATAAGAAAATACACGAGATCAATCCAACATTTCTGTTCCTCATTTAAATTAAATACTGTTTGTTTTTTATTTTTAGGAAACACCGTTTATTGATAAAACGTCAACAATTAAAGGTACCAATAACCCAGAATACCAAAAAACTTTTGTCATTCCTATTCAAAGAAATTCTAGACAGTGTCAGAGAGTGTTTAAAAGACATAGCATAAAAATGGAGGTTTTTTCTAAAGGGTAAGATTTAAGACTTGCTTTTTACTAACACATTGATAATTTCATTTTTAAAACAAATTCTTGCCATTACTCCTTTAATGTCACTTTTTTTTACCATAATTTATTATAATTTCTACATAAGTAAAAAATGTATACTGCAAATAATTTTATGACAATGCAAACACTTCGCAAACTTAGTCGCATGATAAAAATTTATGGTAACGATAGTTTAACAAGTTTTTTATTTAAATTTTACTTTTTTATTAACATTTTAAACAAATAAAAATACGTTTCTTAATAATTGTCATTGTATCTAAGTTGAATTTGAAAATTAATGCTTAGACATGTTATTGCTATCAATCTAGTATTTTCTGACGAAAGCATAAAACTTTGTAAATTTTTCACTTATTTCTAAAATGAAACTGAGTCAATATAAAATTATCCAATAACTTGCTAATATAGAAATTAAAAAATTCCGAAGGTACTTAATTTAATAATAATAGTTTTTTCAACAAATGAAGTTATAAAGGTTATAAGAATAGAATGTATAATATAATACAGTATGTCGCTAATGTATGGAATAAATTCATTATAATGGAAGTAGTTGGTTTTTCGAAAAAATGCTCGGACAGGTCAATTTTGTTTACTCAAAGCGCAATTTTTTAAATAGAATTCAATTTTCCCCCACCTCCCATTTTTGGGCAGTGACGTCATTGACAATTTTTTTAAATAGTACCCCCAATTTTTTTTTCTTGATTTTGTTAGATCTTGCAATTTCCTACTCGGAAACATAATATTTGAAATATCTTACATAACAATTTTTTTTGAATAAAAGTAATTTAAAGATCAGACACATAAATTTTACTTTATTTTGAGAACACAATAAATGAATAAAAGATAATTATTTGTTATTAAGTGCTTAATTAAACAAAATAATAATATTATTAATAATAATAATAATAAAAAAGAATTTGTGAAATTGTCATTAAATTCTTTTTATTATTATTATTTTTATTATTATTATTTTAGATGAAGCACTTAATTACAAATAATCTTTTATTTATTTATTGTGTTTCAAAATAAAATAAAATTTATGTACCTGATCTTTAAATGACTTTTATTCAAAAAAAATTATTATGTCAGATATTTCAAATATTATGTTTCCGAGTAGAAAATTGCAAGATCTATTAAAATCAAGAAAAAAAAATTGAGGTTACTATTTAAAAAAATTGTCAATGACGTCACTGCCCAAAAATGGGAGGTGGGGGAAAATTGAATTCTATTTAAAAAATTGCGCTTTGAGTAAACAAAATTGACCTGTCCGAGCATTTTTTCGAAAAACCAACTACTTCCATTATAATGAATTTATTCCATACATTAGCGACATACTGTATATACATACAATATATGGAAAATAATTGATGTAAAATAAACTGATACTCCATTTATAACCAATCTAAGTTGTGCAATGGCTGACAAATTCATTCATGATAATTTTAATATATATTAAATAAATTAGACAAAATTAGATAAAACTAGACATAATTAAACAAATTTAGATAAAATTAGACAAATAAATTAAATATGGATAAAAAATGTTCAAGAGTCATTAAAGGTAAGGTCTCTTTTGGGCGAGTAGTCGAGACGTTTAGACGCGGCGTTTAATCGTGCTGATAGGTTAAATAGTGATATCATAATGATGGTCTGATTTAAGCGACAAGTCGATACAAATCGCCATAAGACGACGCGTTTTACGGCAAAATTGGTCGTCAGGCAATTTAAACGCGCACGTTTATTTAGTCGCCTGCTATTGATGCAAAATGAGCACCAAAAAAAAGTTTTTTATATCAATGGATACAATATTAACCAATTCATTAAATTGACTTTTGGTAAGCCTAAAGTATTCTTTGAATTTAGTTTCGTCATTAATTAAATGTCTCATTATTAACGTACTAAAGCACCCTTCCTTTCTTCTTCGAACAAACATTTTATGAAACTTTTTTTATGCTTTTTTTGCATTAATGATAATAGCAAAATGTCATCGTCTTCTGCTTCTTCTATAAGCAACTGTGCTGCAATCACAAGTTCACTAGTAGTCATTTTTGTCGAACGAAATAAAAAATATCTGTTATTTATTAACAACGTATATGAAATTTTTAAAATTTAATACATAATCTTTGGTATGTTAAACAAATAAATGATTGAATTTATAGTAAAAAAATCCACCTATTTTTTAAATATTTTTATACTAAAAAAATATGCACAAGTTTTATGCTTTTGTCTAATTTGTACAAAATTTAACTGTTTTGAAAAAACTATGGAAGTAAAATTATTGATTAAATAAGATGGACAAAATTTAGATTCACAAACTACACATCAAAAAGTAAAATTAAAAAATAAACTACAGACACAAATTGTTTAAATACTAACAAGATTTGAGAACTAATTTTTTGTCCATTAAATGGATTTTTGTGCAAATATTCTATTTAATTATTAACACTGTTTCCATTTATTGGAGCTAGATGTAGCTGCTGTGATACTGGTGGAAGCTGTCAATGCTGGGATTCTTTTGTAGATGGATTTTGCTGTTTGTAGGTATCAGTTAATAAATCTTTATTTCAATATATTTTTCTTCATACATTGCTAGTTATAAATTCAATTTATATCATTCCCACCTTCATAACTAGTTATTTTCAAAAAGCATACTGAAGAATATCTACATGGCTAAAACTAGCAACAGTGATATTAGTCATAATCCATGATAGTCAGCAAATATGATTTCAGACGAAAACTGAATTTTGAATGGCTCCTGGCGTATAACAATTATTGAAATCTTTTAGAAACGGTCCGAGAGCGATTTAAAGGGCGTTTTTTATTTATTTGATAAGAATTAAATTACCTTAACACTGGTATTCTGAGTTATGTTCATTTTACTGCGTTTTTGCCAATCGAATTAAAAAAAAAACGTGCAACAATTGTAAGAACTAAAAGTTAACGTGATACGCTTGTCAACAATAATGAAGACGCAAAATATATATTAAAAAAAAAAATACCTATTTGTAGGTAATTTAATTCTACATACCTTTTATTGTCAATTTTTTTATAAAATGAACATTCGCAAATATAAACATAAATGAAAAACGTCCATTTAAATCTCTCTAGGGGTGGTTTCTTAAAGATTTCAATTATTATCTTTCGGTTGTACAGGGTTGGCAAATTTTGATGTTTTAATAGAGAATCTCGTTAACTATAAATGATATGGAAAAATGCACCTCCCATCCTCGATTTTTTTTTTTTTTTGAGAAAAACCTAATGGCATTTTCAAAAATTGACTATTGTCTTTTGTTTTCGAGTTATAAGGAAAAGTTCTTTTTTTCAAATTTTCATTATAATGGCATTATCTCGCTTATTTAAAAAATACAACTTTATGCTATAACTCGAATTTGAAGAATTTCTTAAAAAATTGACTACGCCACTGGATTATTATCAAAAAAGTGCTTGATGAGGGTATAAATTATTTTCTTCCACTTTCATAAATAAGCGAAATAATGTCACATAATGAAAACTTGAAAAAACCAACTTTTGTTTATAACTCGAAAGCAAAAGACAATAGCTAATTTTTGAAAATGCTATTAAGTTTTTCTCAAAAAAAGAATACAGGATGGGATGTCCATTTTTCCATACTATTTCTAGTTAACGAGATTCTTTATTAAAACATCAAAAATGCCCACTCTGTACAACCGAAAGATAATAATTGAAATCTTTAAATATCGAAATTGCCGACCCTGTATAGTAAATCCATGGTTTCCCAACCAGCCATGCAAAAATCAGCTTTTCCTAATTTTTTTAAAATTCAGTGTTTGTAACTGAGAAGGCAAGCAAACATTTTTAAAATATATAAATACTGTGATTTAAATTATAATTTTATTCAAATGCCGCCATTTTATCATTTTTTACTACCTAGCCGCTCGCAATATTATCATGTTTAATTTAAATATAAATTGTTTGAAATTTTTAATAAAAAAAAATGTAATAAATAATGAAATAAAATCAAAATAATTACAATAGATATCGTTGAAGTGATCGCTAAATAAAATCTAATTAAAAATAAATGCGTTTATATATGAAATTTATTTTCTTTACAATACTAAATGTTATACAGATACGAAAGTTTAAAAGCGGACTGTATATTTTACAATGAATTGGACAAGGTATAGTAGGAACATGCGTGTAAAAAACAGATCGCTGATCAAGGAGGATCGCCCAGAGAATAACAGATAACCATTCATTGATAAAATATAATTTCACGATGCCAAGATTAATTCGACAATCAGTACACTCCATTTGTAGGTCCGCGGCGAGGAGACGAAAGGTGAGAAGTAAGAGAGGGGATAAAGAGAAGCATTTTACGCAGTTCCAACTTTTTTATCTATGAATAATGTGTAAGCTCATAATAAACAACATGGAAGATATCCATGTCGGTGTAAACCCTGTTGCCACTTCCAACCTAACATTACTAGATTTTGGAATTTATTGAAAATTATTACATCTAATTTATCGTATCGTGTGGAGGGTGGGTTACACCTACGGCATTTAGGCCTCATTAGGCCCGTTGTGCATCCTCCTAAGATGATAGGCACCTCCTAGCTCGTGAGCCAGTCTACAGATTTAATGTAATTGATAACGTAGTCAAAAGGTTCTTCTCTTATATCGGCCGATACTCGTCTAACACAAATCTTCTAATAAATGATAGTGTCTTCCCCACTCGACCATTCACTGTTGGGTTCTAATTAACAGTGCTGTTCCTACGGTAGTGCTGGCAAACAGTAAAAAATCCTACTCAGAATACGAGGCTAATGACCTTAATCGATGCCAATGACACCAAATTAAAAAAAAAATTGAGAGCGTCGAGCAATCGTAAAGGATATGCTCGATGGTATCATCTTCTTGTTCGCACCCTCTGAGATGCTTCCGTACTTGGCAATGACCAGTCAGAATACCTGTGACTAGGCACAGATTCTGTCTAGTCATAGTCAAGTATTTGTTTGCTGGCAACTCTGCAGTTTCTTGTTTCATCCCATTTTTCCTTAAATTTCACAAGAGAATCTACTTTAATTAAGAAGGGCCAGGTCTAAAAAGTATTTGATTGGCTTCTTTATTGGCTAGTGAACCAGCAAGACGGTTACCTTTCGATATGGCGTGACCTTTAATCCATCTTAAGGTTACCACATTGTTGATGGATACTTTGGCCAAAGCTTCGTGACATTCTAGTACTAACCCTGAGTAAATTCGTGGTCTGTTCAGGGTGAGTGTTGCTTGTCTGCTATCTGTATCCTTCCAGTGAAATTACATCTAATTTAGTTTAGTTACAATAAAATAGGTTCAATTGTTTTATCTTCTTTATATGTAAATAATTTTGTAAATAAACCGAAAATAATGAAATAAGAATTTGACAACAGCGAATATTATACCCTCCTGTGTCCCTTAGAATATAGCACGATATTTGTTAGTAGTTACATCTCCTGTTATCTCTGGGATCGCCTCACTACATACTTTAGCAAAGCATATGATCGGTTCGCTTTGAAATATTACAGTTCTAAAATGAGATTATTTTACAACATTTTGTTGAAATCCAAAAATAATTGGTCATATATAGTTCCAACGCAGGACAATAAGCGACACAGTATCAACCTTATATAGTACCTTATAGTACAATATCTATATACTCACATAATCCAAAATGGAATCGTTATCTTTATTTATATAAATGGTTTATTTAGTCAAAACTATTTTTTACATGTCAATATATGTCTTCGCATTTAAAATAATTTAAAAAATACATAAGTATAGAGTCAACATACATTTAGAATAAAAGAAAAAAACATCAAATAATCAGCAAGTACTCACCAAGTTTTCTTTTAATTATTGCTGCGTTTGAAGAGCATTTAATATATTCAGGCAAATTATTTAAAAAAAAAACTTCATTAACATCCTGATTATAATTTAAAATATTTTGTAAATATACTCGGGAGATTCCTGATTTAATCTTACTAATATATAAATGCGAAAGTTTGAATGGATCTGGCTGAAATTAACACAGTCTGGAATAACACATAGGCTACTTTTTATCCCGGAAAATGTACGGTTCCCGTGCATGCTTTTTTGTATAGTGGTAGTGAAACATGAAAATTTGAAATACAGCTACTGGCCATAAATAAATAATGACGTGTTTCAGGTTTTTGGATTTTCACATTTTCAGAGGGGGAAATAGGAGTTGAAAGTTTGTATGGAAGCATCGGTTTTTTTTAAAAAGTAGGGACTTGAACATTGGAATTATAGCTCCTCATCAAAAATAAATAAAGGCGTGTTTCAGGGTTTTTGAATTTTTATATTTTAAGAGAGAGAAAAGGGGGGGGGAAGTGAGAAATGAAGGAAATGGGGGAGGGGGGGGGGGGACGACAGTTTGTATAAGGTATCGATCTTTTAAAGAAGTAGAAACTTGAAAATTGGAATTGTAGTTACTTATCATAAATAAATAGATATATTCCACGGTATTAGGATTTTTACATATGAACGGTCTTAAATCAATACCTCCCTATGTCCAAATTAAACATTTTAGAGAAGGAACATTAAACTGTCTTGATTGCTTAATAAAGCCAATTAATTATTTGATTAATAATGTTAAAACAAGTAAATAAATATATGAATAACCTATAAATGTGGATATTTTGTTATTTTTAAAATTTTGTTCTAAATTAATTTGTATAGATAAAAAAAAGTAAAAAATTCGAAATTTCGGACTTACGAGGTATTGATTTGAGACCATTAAGGGGGAATCGGGAGGTGAAAGTTTGTATGAGTTTCGGTTTTTTAAAGGTAGAAAATTGAAAATTGGAATTGTAGCTACTCATCATTTTAAGGAGAGGGGGAATGGGAAGTATCATAATAAATAAATAAATAAATAAAAATGGATAAAAATAAATAAATAAAAATCAATAAAAATCAATATAAATCAATAAGAATAAATAAGAATAAATAAGAATAAATAAAAATAAATAAAAATAAATAAAAATAAATAAAAATAAATAAAAATAAATAAATATAAATAAAAATAAATAAAAATAAATAAAAATAAATAAAAATAAATAAAAATAAATAAAAATAAATAAAAATAAATAAAAATAAAAATAAATAAAAATAAACAAAAATAAATAAAAATAAAATAAATAAAATAAAAATAAATAAAAATAAATAAAAATAAATAAAAATAAATAAAAATAAATAAAAATAAATAAAAATAAATAAAAATAAATAAAAATAAATAAAAATAAATAAAAATAAATAAAAATAAATAAAAATAAATAAAAATAAGTAAAAATAAATAAAAATAAATAAAAATAAATAAAAATAAATAAAAATAAATAAAAATAAATAAAAATAAATAAAAATAAATAAAAATAAGTAAAAATAAATAAAAATAAATAAAAATTATTAAAAATTATTAAAAATTAAAATATATATATTTATATATTTGCCAGTTTTCCTCTGATTTGTTAGTAATAAATAATGTTTTATAACTTTTATCTCACGCCATAATATTTAGTATTAGTTGTTCACAGTTTAACAGTTCCCCTTAACCCCCATTTTCAATCAGATTTCTTCCAAAATTAAAAGGCTCCATCCTCTTATATCGTGTTCTGTTTCCAAGTTAGATTTTTTTTAATCTTTCAATCCCCTTAACCCCCCCATTTTTTAATAGATTTTTTTTAGAATAAGTAGGCTTCATCCCTTATAAAGCTCGATTTTTACAAAAAAAAATTCATGTTGATATCGCTTTTCGGTTTTGATTTCTGATTTTTTTTTTAATTTCAACCCCCCCCTAATCCCCTATTTTTATTCATAGTCCCGCTTATAGAGCTCGATTTTTCGCATTCAATTTATTACTTTTTTTAATTCATCCCCCCTTAACCCTCCATTTTTAATCAGATTTTTCAAAATCATTAGGCTGCGTTCCTTTATAAAGCTTGATTTTTGCTAAAAATTTCGAGTGGATATTATTTTTCGTTATTGAGTTAGAATTTTTTTTCAATATTTCAACCCCCTTAAAAGAGAATTTAAAAACTACATTGAAATATTCTGACGTTGCAGCTATCTTAAAAAATAATGTGATTTTTTCACCTTGTAGCGTAGAAAACTTATAGTTATAAATAAAATGCTAAGTAAATCGGAAATTACTAGTCAAAACAATGTCAGTCTTGAAATTAAAAACGACATGATTACGCTCCGTGCAGTGTCCAATTATTAAACCAATTCTTATTTATTTCAAATAAGAACATTCTGATTTCATAAAATAATTTTCTTTTTAATGATTTTTGTGGAATATTCCAAGTGGTAAAAGTAAATATAAACCAATACTCAGTCTCCCACTATGGGCGCTAATATTCAAATGTCAGTATGTTAGCTATTTTTAATAGCTGTTATTAAAGAAATAAGAGACTGTTTGTCATTTTAAAATAGTCACTTCAACGATTTTTATTGTAATTAATTTTTAATTAATATTCCTTTTCATTTGTAAAACTTGCTTTCTAAATTTGCTATAATGGTAAGAATTATGTTTTGAATATTCTTAGATGGTTATTCGATTTTGCCTAATATACCCAATTCATTACTAGATAATTAAATTGAAATTAATATTGAAACTACATAGTTTTAAACCTAATTTAAACAAGAGCACTTAACCTTAGATTACCAGCGTAATTCAATAGTCTTTTATTACCAATAAATAATACGTCAATTTTGCGTGTTTATTTTTAAGAATAAGAAACTGCAATTATTGTTGAGTCAATTTATTAAAAAATAATGTAATAGTAACAAAACACTTTAAAAAAAGTTACTCTGTTTTACATATTACTGCTTTTTAATATTTGAGACACCTCACATGAAAATATTTCAAGTTCCTTCTTGGGTAGTGTCGGTCGTAGATTGTTATGAATTTTCTCTCAGTCTGTAAAGATTATGTACATAGGAGCTATAAAAGTCTCTTAGAGCTATTGCACGACGACACGTTTTTAACACTATTAAATTGACATACTAACGAAAGCATAGCTAGATTATCGATGCGATAGAAGCAGAGAGTATATATGCAAGATTTTTGAAAATATACACTGACAATCTAGGGTTAAACTTTAAAATAAAACGTTTCATTTTAAATTATAATTAATAATGCAGATTATTGAAGCCATAAAGAACACTCACTTTCCAGATACGCCAGATAATTGATCTAACTTCGCTTTCAATAAAAACATTAATTTACTTGAATTTTATACGTTCTCTTGCAGGGGATTCTTTAGGAGTGATGTCCTGGTTGGCACTGTAAATGTTAAGTTGCAGCCTCTTGAAACCCAGTGCGAACTTCACGAAAGTTTTGAAGTAAGTTTTTTGTATAAAAAAAAATATAATTCACAATTGTGCAAAATAGCTCAGCAGAGTTCCTGGTTCAAATGTCTGCTATTCCATTTTTCATTGGTTTCAGGAATATCCTCTACAGTTACCGAGTTACAAAATAATGAAGTTATTACTTTTATTTGCATTATACTGTATATATTTAAAAATCGATGTTTTTTAGCTCATGGAAGGTAGACGAAAAGTTGGAGGAAAATTGGAAGTGCAAATAAAGTTAAGAACGCCAATTCAAACACAACAAGTTGAACAAATACAAGAAAAGTGGCTGTTAATCGATCAGTAAGGTTATTTATATTGTTGCTCATTATATTAAAAAATGGTTATATATTGCATATTGTACAGCTTAAAAACTTTATCTATAATATTATACTATATTTTTATGCATTTTAAACTTTTATAAGACGTACTAAATGTTTCATTACTGATTAGAAATTAATGAAATTTTAATAAAAAAAGATGTACCTTTATTATTTGTTAAACATGAAGTATATTTTTTCCATTATACCTTTTATTGAAAAACATTATTTCTACAAATTAAAAATGGCTAGTTTAATATTTCTGCCCAAAACCGATGTGTTCGTGGCCTAACAACTAACTATAGTCCGGTCCCAAGGAATTAAATATTATTTTGCTAGCGTCTTATCCACTAGTTAAACGCCCTCTATCTTACGTCTCAAGTAAAGTGCATCACATTTTATCAATAATATAATATCTCTAGTTTCACCTCGTTTTTGTTTCATTTAGAAGTTAAGAGTGGGGGCACAATATACGTCCTCACTGTATATAAAATTATGATTCATCATGCCAATTTGAAACTATGTAGGGTAGTGGCATCAGTTATGGACACTTTTAGAGATAATTTAAACATAATTGCCTGAAACTGCCACAGTAAAAGTTTTGTTTTAATCATACACATACCAAAATTAAGCTTATATATTATTTTTGCCTATGCTATAGCAGTAGTTTTTCTTAATTCACGTTAAGTATGTAATAATTAATTTAATTTTTACGTATGCATGTTCGCCAGAAATGGACAGTCGTTTTTTTCATAAATTCTAATTTGGACACTTGTAGACCATTAATGGACTTTTTTTTGTTTTATTACTATTCTCTTTAAAACATGATAAATTGATATTTATGATTCAAAAAATAATTAAGAATCTATAAAAGAATAGAATAAAGAATAAACACAAACGTATACAAAATAATATAATTATTATCGATTTAAATTTAAAACAAGACTTTTATAATCATTAATATTGTCACGTTAAGCGTGTTTTTATAATTAGAAATGTGTCACAATGAATGTGTTCTTAAATAATTATGGGAATATCTATGTCCCGGGGGTTAAATAACAAAATAAATGAATTTGAGCCTTAATCACAAACACTATTTAGCCTTAAACTTGGCTTCGTAGCCCTTAACTGTATGAGGGTTCTACTCTTGATGTAAGAACCTAACACGTCTCTGTAAAAGGGCTGAAGGAAACACAATGTTTTCTCAAAACAAATATAATGTAATTACAACGATTATAAAAAATGTCTTAACTCGACATACACAAATATGGGGCTCAATATAATATAAAGATACAAAAAATATTAACTTACCAACTCCAATTTTGGGGCACATGTCACAACTCTTGCCTGACTATTAAAACGCAATTATTCAAAATACTAAAAAACGACTTTTAATTTAAACTATAAAGATTAAGAGCTGGAGCTGCTACTGGGAATCTCGTACAAGGGGGATTTCCTGTGGAGAGGATCCGTTCCCTGTGGAAAAAGTCCTGCGCATCCCCTCGACATTACCTTTATCACTTTCTCATAGTTTATTGTTATTAAAACTAATGTTTAATAATTATTAAATAACCAACCTTGCACATTATTGCAATTTAAAACAAATTGTTGACATAATTAAACAAAGTTTTATGTACAGGATGTTATTTAAATAATTAATTAAAATTAGGAAAAATTAGAATTTATACGAGTCGTGACAATATTCTTCTTCGTCCTCACTGATGCTCTCATGTTCATCACTAGTATCAATAGTGATACCACATTTTTCGCATACAAACTGTTCGTCCTCTTCAGAATCTGCGTAAGTATTTCCAAGGCTATTCATATACTTAAGAGGAACACAAATTTTATGAACTTTATTTGGGTAGCTATTACATGAAAGCCATTTATAGCTTTTCCCTCTAATACATGCTGGTCCTTCCATGCTGTTTGGCACTTATAACATTTCCAGTTTAACATTAGGATTCTAAAATCTTTACCCTTTGTTTGAGTTTTCTTTTTTACGACTTTTGGTTTTTTGACTTGTAATTTTTTTTCTTTTTGTTTTTCTTCTCTTGCTCTTTTCCGGCTTTTTTCTTGTTCTTTTTCTAATTTAAGTGCTTCTTTCTTTTGTTGTTCATTTAACCAAAAATCAGATATAACTGAACGTGGTTTTTTCCTCATTTGTTTCTGAGTCATTTGTTCTTCCTTGGGCCAAAAAAGATATTTTTTAAATGAAGATTTACCAGTGTGCTGTGTTCCGTTAACGACAATTTCTTGGCAGTGTGGTTGAAAATAAACATTACTTATAGAAGGATCAATTGTTTTTGATGTTGAAGGCTTTGCATTATCGGGAGTTTGTTGTTTTTTTTTTTTTAATGTTATGGCAGCATGAACTTGATGATATTCTTCTGGGGTTATGTGGTTTTTATCCGACTCAACTGTAACACGTAAATCCTCAATTACTTCTTGCCAGATTTCCTTTGAAAGTTCTTCAGAGGATTTAGTAACTTCTTGAGGAATGTGTTCTTCATTTTGGGTGTCTTCGTGGGTGTTATCGTCGATTTCAAATGAGAAGTTTAAAGATGTATTTATGTCAATTATATTACCATTTTTCTCTGAGACTATTCAATTTTTGAATTATTTTCCAGGTATTAAACAAGTCTTTTGTTAACTCAGGTCCACTCCATTCGTCTTCTAAAATGTGTTTCTTTATAATTTGAAGTACATTTGCTGAAATATTAGCTTCCAAAACATTTAAGCAGTTTTAATGTCATCATTCATCACGTTATCTTGCTTATTGATATCGTCTGCTTCTTTTGTGTGTTGTTTGTGTAATATTTGGGAGTAATCCACGTTGTTTGCATCAAAGGGATAAAGGCCACAAACTCGAAACCCATTTTTAATCGTATCCGGAGTCATGGCATCTTTTAAAATAGTTTTCAGTAGTTTGGCAACATGTCTGATCAATTGCTGGTTTTCATTTTCAGTGAGCCATTTTCTTAGATGAATTTTCCATTTACTCTTTAGTGGATAAAAGACCGCCACATCGAGAGGCTGCATTACATGGGTAGCATTTGGAAAAAATACTGCTAAAATAATTTCTTTTTCACGCAAAAACATACTGAGGTGTAGAGTCAAATGGGACTTGTGTCCGTCGACAAAAAAAATTACAGGGCGTTCGATGTTATTTTCCGTTAGCCTTGGTTCAAATATATTTGCCATGTATTCAAAAAATACTTCGCCAGTCATCCATCCTGATTCCGATTTTCCTAAGCCCCAACCTTTGGGAAAATTTTTGACAATTTCTGAAGGCGTTCTCTTGTATGGATAAACTACCATAGGAGGCGCCATGTTTCCGGATGCTGCAACTGTAATCAATACTGTGAGGTTCTCTTTTTCTGAAGTTTTTGAAACATCGTATATATTTTTAATTCCCTTTGGGGCCAAAACTTTGCCAGTTTTAGGGCATACGGAAATTGCTGTTTCATCAGCATTAAAAATGCGTACTCCATTTTCTAAAATATGAAGTAATCATTTTCCTTTAAGTAACTGGAAACTTCTTTAAACCAGTTACGTATATCGCCTTCAGTAAGCTTTCCATGGTAACCTATTAGCTTTTCAGGGGTTTTTAGAGAAATATTTGGATGCCTCATTAAAAATGACTTAAACCATTTATTTCCTGGAATACCGTCAGAAAATGGATTCTTACGGCCTAACTCTTTTATACGTTTTGCTACGGTATCAGTTAAACACTGTTTTGTCAAAGCCGGCCCTTGCAATATCAACAATCCACGTTACAATACGGCCTTTCTCATCAGTTGATAAAAATCGTTGGAGGTCCCATATTGCAAATTTCGGGACTGATGCCTTTTAGTTTATTTCGCAAACTTATGCGTGGAACACCGAATCTTTTACTTGCGGTTGCAATGGGAATGCCTGCCTTTGTTGCGGCTAATGCTTCTACCATATTTTCAATGGTATATTTCCTAAATTTCTTTTTATCCATTGTGTTGAAATCTGAAAAAAATTAACACGTTAACGACCGCTGTCGTAAAGCCAAATCTGGTCCCACGGACCGGCAACTTTTTATTTGAAATAATAGAAACTTAATAAAACATTGTTTCATGATATTTGCAATTTTTTCTTTAATTCCAAATATTGTTTTTGGGCGTGCAATATCTGGATAACACGCGGTCCAAGCGCTTGATTTCAAATACTGGGACCGCGTGCTAACTGCAGATAACTCATTATCTTAAGCACAATATCACATTCACCAAATGGGAAAGATCAAGAACAAACGGGCAAATGAAGTAGAAAAACCCCAAGTCTTCATTGACTGTATTAAAGTTTGAGAACTACAGAAAAAACCATTAGATAGAGCATTTGCTATATTAGAACCAAAACTCTGCATGGACGGATTGCAGCTCAGTAATGTGCGAGATCAAAGTATGAGTGTGGAGTTTGCAAAAAAAGATTATTTTTTAGATTGTTTTTTTCATGTCATTCAGCCAAAAAATTAAAATAACGTTTTCCTATAAGAGTATTTGCATTCATTTATGAAATAATGTATTTTTTCTAAATATTTTTCTATATTTAAAGAACATATAGATAACTATACAGCTAGTGAAAAATCACATCACGAGATAAATGACATCTCAATTTTTTTTTGGTCTGCCCCACGCTGAATCCGCTATTATCGAGGAGTCACCAGGATCGCTAACTACAGTATTCTATATATTTAGCATTGTTAACGTGCCTCCTGTCGATATCAAAGCAGTGAAAATATCAATATCATGCATGCTATCTGAAGTTAACACGCGGTCCCAGGGAAACATGACAGTGTGCTAACTATAGTTAAGTTATAGTTAAGGTGTTAATGAACCAATCATGGACATACGCAATTATCCCTAAATGGACATTATGTCCAACACTGGATTTCTTTTTAACAATTTACTGTTATTTATATTAATCAACAGCATTTTTTATAATCATTTAAACTCAACTA